TTTTGCTTTTCTCTTATGGCTAGCCATTATGAATATAAGTGTTATTTCAATTCAAGTAATAGCCAAGACCCGGGATGACCATCAAATGTCCATCTATATTACAGTTTAGTAGTGTTGTATAAAAAGGAACAATGTTGCCAACAGGTACTAACTTTTGAGAAATGAACTTTTATTCTAAACTATTTTACAGCTTGTACAAGAGAGAGTGTGAGTACTGCGTGTACAGATGTTGCTTGGAGAGTGGTTGTAATGAGACTGGCTAAAAATGACCAAGTGGTGAAAATAGGGTTGGGAACATAGGCCGGAAGAACAAGGGTAAATCTAACTAAAATCTAATTATAAAGTAATAACTCCTAGACCAGAAGTCTGCCAGAGGAATGTGGTAAGAAGGCCAAAGCAATAAAAGTGGGTCCTTGTGTAGGAGTGCTCTTAAATCAATTAGGAGGCTTGACATTACAGGGTCAAAAGTTAAAGGCTCCTAATCTACTGCTGGGAAAAATGTCATGGAGTCTACTGTAGATGCAAGTGTTCTTATTTTTACAAGGGGGAAAACGCTACAACAGAACCATGTACTCAAAACAGAAATTAACTTCAATGATGTAATTCTTTGCACCAAGAACACATTCCTACAAACTGGCACAGTTCAGTTTTGTTGTTCTGTCCTAAAAAACCTATTATTGATGTTACTAACTAATGATTTCAAAGTTGAACAATGCATTTCAACAAAAGTATATAGGGAAACTGAACCAATCGTTTGTGCATGTCGCACTTATGAACTGCAACATCCCCCTCTAGATTTTAAAACTTTCCTTTCAGTTTCCACATCTCTCCTCTCATAACGTAAGGGAATCTCTTTTGCTTCAATAACTTCCAAAAGGAAAAGAATTTCACAATTTTTCTCGATTTCCACCTGGGGTCGAGGTTTTGTACTGTTCTTTGTGATTTAAAGCCATTGCCCTCCAACTTCACCGTAACTTATCCCTTTATCAAAAATTCGACTAGCTGAATGTGCAATAGTAAGAAAAAAAAGGAATTTTAGTCCAGGCTAAAAGAGTAAGTTTGGAGTGACATATATCCACACACTAATGAAATAAACAAGTGGAGCTGTCCCGAAAGTAAGGATAATTGTGCCGATGATCAGAGCCGCTCAAACTACATGTAATTAATTAAGAGGGTTTATCGCGCGTTATACTCTCCGAAGCGGACCGCGCGACGAACAATAAGGAGGCCCCCCGGGTCCGATGGACGAATCCATCCTCATTTCTTTTCTGGGGGTGGTACACACAAGGCAAAAGGCTCACCATGAGGCACACAGCTTTTCCTACGTTCATGTCAAAGTGAAACTGTGTATAACTTCACACGTTTTTTTCTCTTTTTTTTTCAAAGCTGGAGCTGACGCAAATGTACTTACCATGGCAGTAATTCGTGTTGAACTGACAGATACCTGTTCAGGCTGTATTAATGCTACCTAAGTGCAAAGTACACCTGTAAATGCAACCTTTTGTTTATACAGCAGGCTAGTGAATATGCAAACGTGCGAGCGCGCTGTGCACATCGTACTGTCCGATTCGTTAGCGCATAGCGTGACGTGCGGCATCAAAACTTAAACCACGCCCACTCCTACCAGAGCGGGCACTCCCGCGATCATTCCATGGCTCAACTGAAATAGAGCCTGAAAGTAAAAGGTCACGCAATGAGCTTCCGGAACCCTTGTGCGGTCTGCCTATGGGGATTTTATATTGGGCCGTCCTATCACTTCCGATAATTTTTGGAAGAATGTCACACGCTAATGAAATAAACCTGGAGATGGGTAAAAAACGTATTTCAGTGACGACCTTTCACGTCCGACGATATCGTACCTAGGTCTCCTTATTTATGCATGTTTGTTTTCACTCCCCGTGCTTCCGTGAAAACGAGATTGTACAACGTTGTAAAGATTCACCTACCTGCAGTCGATGGGTTCCAGATTCCGTTGAGCTGACATTACGCAGTTGCTTTCAGCAAATGTGTTAGATAAAATATAAGATTTTTTCGTAAAAGTAGAACATTGCTTTAAGTTTATTACCTTATATATTATAAAAGTGTGTCAAATATTTTGATCTGTTTTTACTTCGGCTTTTATCGACAGACTACCATAAAATTTGTAAATCACGAGAGAACCCAACTGGAAAGAGTAGAATGTCAGTTCCTGAGGCCTCTCAAACAGTGTTGATGTTGATTGGTCCTTTGGATTTCATTTGATTTTCAAATTTTAGTAGGTTAACCAATTAATTTTAAATTATCCGCACAAAACAAATTCAGCCCTCCCCCGAGGGAACGTTCCCAAGTCTTTTCAGCAGCCATTTTTCAAATGACGTCCTTTGAACTTTAAAGGCTCCTCTGGCAATTGTTCAATCATTTTTGTCTGCTTTGCCCCTAGATAGGAGCCCCCTGAATCTGTAGAGATGATCCTGGGCCATACTTACACAGTGCCACCATGTCTTGGCCCACACAAACCTCCTCTTTTCGAAAAAAACTGTAGGGGATTTTTAAGTGTCTTCACCCGGTGGAGAATTTTCCTTGAATACGGGTGATTCACATAGTGCGCCTCCATGGAGGCGCACTATTGTGAAATACCCATATTGGGACAATGCACTCTTCAGGCATAGGGTGCATTCCACCAAATCGTTGGATTTCTGCACGCGAGCTCATTAATATTTTGTGATTCCGCTGTTTTTTTTTTAGAATAACACATGCCATAATCAGGAGTGATCACAGCAATATTTCTATAAATCACGAATTAGGGACTGTTTTTTTTTTCAATTCGGGGTATTTCTTTCACAACCTGTGGGCCTATTTTGGATAGCGGCGGGTGGGTACATTCAGAGCTTAGCGCATAGTTTTATTACTATGGGGGTATCTTCGAGGAAAGGCTAATAAAAAAAATCGTGCGGCTAACCCCGATAATATTTATATGAAAAGTGAACTTCTGGCCATAATTTTGAACTCAAGTTCTAGTGAAAAACTGGAGGCATACCGCTTCCCGAGAGTCAACTGGCGGCGCTATTTCGGTCCGATTTTGTACTGTTTTCTATGGGCGTGTACGTGTGCAACCATCTCGTAGTATCCTGTTTATAGTCAAGGGAGGGCGCTATTTAAGAAAATCGCCGGTAAATCTGCTATCGGGTACGTACCGGCGTGATTACGTTGAGGAGTGTTAAAAAACAAAAAATCTACGGTTCTTGGTTGGTTCCGTCGCTGGAATTTTCAGGTAGACCTACTAAAGTATCATTAGTCCGAATTTTAGCTTCACGCCTCTGTAAAGCCTCATGTCTGTAACTAGGTAGGTCTACTAGTACTAGCAATTGGCGTATGACTGGTTTTGGCCCCGGGTACGGGTTCGACATGAACCTCCACCGAGCTCTACGGGAGCACGGGGACGTCAAACCCCGCGGTTCTTGGGGTAGGAAAATACCTCGTCAGTCACTTAGCTGGGTGCTTGGCGATTGACTGTAAATGGTATTGACATGATCGATACAATTGGTGATTTATTGACAGTGTAAAATTAATGGGTAGGGTTGTAAAAGTCTAAATCTAATGTATACAGCTTCGTTAGAGCATGGAGGTAGAACCTCCATGCTTAGAGTAACTTAGATTAGATCAAATGTTCTTTTGAGTGATAAGACATGTTCTCATGTCATGACTGGGGTGACTAAATTGGTGTTTCATACTAACATTACTGCATTTTTGTTCACTTAATTCCCTCCCACCTCAGCTCATTTCGTCTTGCAAGCTGTCATTTTTTTTCTAATTGTGATTCCTTTGCTTTTCTTACGATTGCATGATACCGTTTGCCCTTTGTATCTCATGAAGTGTTTCCAATCAAAGTTGGGCATGACCAACTGTGTTGACAATATACGTGACTGCAGTTTCAGTTTATTTTGGGTCAGTTCAAAGTTCAAACCATTTGGGCTTAACTCACAAAACTCAAAATTTACTTTAAAAAGGGAGTTCTAAGTCTTAGACTAAGTCTTGAATGGTGAGTTTGTCTCTTATTTTGATGTGAAATGTTTCAAAAGTATGTGTGCTAAATTTGAAAGTTTTTGATTAACAAACACAGAAACTAAGCCCCAAATACTGTTTACTAGGTCAAAATGACCAAGAACACGCAGATGCTTTGGGAAAATGAGAATGGACCTCAGGCTGTAGTGAAGCTACAATTTCTGACCTAAGGTCTGATGTGCATGTCACACTATGGAGTGTTCAAGTGTGTTAGCCATAGCCTGGGCTGGACTTGCAGTAGATGTGCTGATCGACACATTGTTGCTGAAAGCTGTCCTGTTACTTGGTGAATTGAAAATTTGGAACCTCTACTGTTTCATCGATGGCCTTTACAAAATTGCCCAGACCTGTTCACGTGAAAACGGTTCTCTTTTTCATTGTACATGTATGTGAAGTTACATTGCTTATCACTAACTTGGATTCGTGTTGAGTGGTTTGATTTCTCTGTTAACTATCCTGGTACAGATCATGTGGACGGAGCTGTGGAATTGTTCGGAGTTTCACCATCAGCACTTAGCAGGCCAACAGCCTGTTTGCATACAGCCATCATGACTTCAGTCCCTTG